ATTTGGGTAATCATCCATACTATTATTTATACACAATACTTAGTATCTAGTTCAAATGTGATAATGCATTGATATCTGTTTGTATAGCTATGGATTTGGTATCATCTCGTAACATTGAAGAAATGGTGTTTGTTCTGAAAAACGAAGTGGAAAAAACTCATAATTTAGCTGAACACGAAGATACTGGAAAGTATAGACAATTGTTGGTGCGCACATTGCATACGTGCTCTATTAAGGTTTGTTATTGTTTTATGAAGTTAGTTGTAGAATGGTTATTTTTACTAAAATAATTTTTATAGTTTCCAGATATAGCTGCAACAGTGATCCCTGTACTCATTGAATTCTTATCAGATAGTATAGAATTGGCTGCCACAGATGTCATGGTATTTTTGCGTGAAGCTATTTACCTCTTTGAATCATTACGGCCTCTCATAATTCAGCGTTTATTAGAAGTTTTCCAATCAATTAAGTCTGCCAATGTACACAGAGCTGCATTGTGGATACTCGGTGAATTTGCCAACTCACAAGAAGATATTGAAGCAACAATTGAACAAATAAAAACATCACTTGGAGAGGTATATTATTGATTTGATTTATACTTTGAAAATTGGTTTTAACTTATAAGTTATAACTATTACAGAAAATATATACCGATTCAGTATTAGGTTATTAGTAGAGTTAGAATTTGGCATATTTGTTCAAATAATGATAACAATTATTTAATTAAAATTTTTGACATCTTAAATCAATAAATAAATAATAAATAAATTTTTTTTTAATCAGTTAATAATTGATCTGTACGTATAGATCAGTTTAATATTTTAAATGTAGACATTTTTAAACTGTATCGCAGACCACAGTGGCGTATATCTATGAGTTATTTATTAGAGTTTTTAATTTTCATTTCTTTAAATGATATGAATATACTACAAATTAAAATATTATATTATATATTAATTATTTCTTTTGCGAGTTTAATAAATAATAATGTAATTGCAATATGTTATTAATATGTGTACATTGATTTATTTTAGATGCCCTTAGTTGAAGATGAATTGAAGAAAGCAGCAGGAGACTCAGAAATTGTTGAAGAATTTGGGTCTAGTGGTTCACAGTTGGTTACATCTGATGGAACATATGCTACTCAATCAGCATTTATTACAAATACACCACGCAGTGGTCAGGCAAAACGACCACCATTACGTCAGTATCTTATTGATGGAGATTTCTACGTTGGTGCTGCATTAGGCACTACGTTCACTAAATTGGGCATAAGATATGCTGCAATTTGGGAAGAACAAGATTCGATAAAGGCTAATCAATTTTGTGTTAAACTTATGTTAATTTTAACTTATATTTTGAAGCTTGGAAAATCAGGTAATTAGAATTTAAATTGTATTGATTGTAGTTTAAAAAAAATAGTCACTAGTTTAGTTGATGCCCGCCTAGAAGTTATTTCCCTTGCCACTCAGATATGTGTAGTACCATGCCACTTTTTTCACATAATCCCCGTGTATATTTGTACAGTGTAAAAATGAAAACAAGTCAAAACACGCAACCCGCTTTATAATGGAATTGATGTGCACATAATGAATTAAATTGTTTTCAGCGAATTATTGTTGCCATCGGGCTTTGGCATTACAATTTATTTTTACTCGCTCGTTTATTATATGCCGATTATCAGCTAATAATGTTTGTAAAAAGTCATTTAATATAATCTATAATATACAAATGTATATTATATTGGTTATATTTTTTTGGATGTGCCCTATTTCCTAAAAATCCACGAGCTGTCACTGAGTTTACCTATAATTATTCTTAAAATATCCAATGAGTGAGTATGTCATTTTTATAAAATACAAACCAGGTTAAACTATTTTGTACCTACCTGTTTTATCTCTATACACAGTATACATTTTTAAATCAATGATAAGGACCTTAAAAAATATGAAAGAATTGCGTGGCAGGTGAAACTTCCACCTGGTTATCAACTAAATCAATGCCAATAATAGTAAATTGTAATGTTGATTTATGTGTTTTATATATTTGCATATTTTTTTTTTAGGAATTTGTTCTAAACCAATTGGCATTGATGATGGAGACAAGATTATGGAAAGTATTAAAATATTGAATGATAGAGATAGTGAGATTGAAGAAATTTATACCAAAGAGTGCAGCAAATCATTAAATGAAATGTTGGCTGCTAAAGAAGATGAAGAAAGCAGCAACAAGAAAGTAAGCTAATGAAAAAAATAAAATCCACATTATATATGTTTATTTTTAAAATGTTATTAATAGTTTAAAAATTGTTTAGGCTAAAGAAAAGCCGGGACATAAAGTTAATGTTGATGATGCCATTGTATTCTTACGTACCAGTAGTAACGGCACGGAAGGTACAGAAAATGTTTTTGAACTCAGCTTAAACCAAGCCGTTGCTGGTGGTGGTTCTATTCACCAGAATAGTGGTGATGGTGCATCGGGACTTTCTACCAATAGTAAACTTAATAAAGTTACACAATTGACTGGATTTTCTGATCCAGTGTATGCTGAGGCTTATGTTCATGTCAATCAGTATGATATCGTTTTGGATGTATTGATTGTTAATCAAACAGGTAAAAAATTAATTTTGAGTTAGACATGACTACATGAGTTATTTATAAATTTATAATTACAATAACTATTAATATATAAGGTGATACATTACAAAATTGTACTCTCGAGTTGGCCACAATGGGAGATTTGAAGTTGGTTGAAAAACCACAACCTGTTGTTTTGGCTCCTCACGATTTCTGTAATATCAAAGCTAGTGTGAAAGTTGCGTCTACAGAAAATGGAATAATCTTTGGAAACATTGGTAAATTAAATGAGTTTTTTCTTTTATAACTTATGTTAATTATTATTTATTTATTTGAACTAGTGTATGATATTGGCGGTGCAATTGGTGATCGAAATGTGGTTGTATTAGATGACATTCGTATAGACATAATGGACTACATAATGCCTGCTGTATGTAACGACTCTGAGTTCCGTCAAATGTGGACTGAATTTGAGTGGGAGAACAAAGTATAGTCCTTTTTGTGTTTGTGTTACAGTATTTAGGTATTAACAGATTATTGTTTTAGGTTTCTGTTTCTACCAGTTTGACAGATCTTAATGAATATTTGGCACATTTATTGAAGAGCACTAACATGAAATGTTTAACTCCAGAAAAAGCATTGTCTGGACAGTGTGGATTTATGGCAGCAAATTTATATGCGAGATCGATATTTGGCGAAGATGCTCTGGCAAATTTAAGTATTGAAAAGGGATTGGATAAGCCACAAGTCATTGGTCATATTAGAATTCGTGCTAAAAGTCAGGTAATTACAAAATGTTATTTATATTTCACAATTGTTCATACTTAACAGTTTAAATTTAATATAAAGTAACACATTTTATAGTTTTTAATTTTTGTAAAAATATCTAATTATTATATTTTTATACTGTACATGTAAATTCATATAATATGTAAACTTAATAATGATGTCATATTATTATGAACTGATAGTGAATGGATTATTTAAATCACATATTTTGTTACACATAGAATACTGCCAAAATATAATATTGTTTAAGTACCTAAACAATATTCTATTAGGGTAGAACTGAGTCATTAGGCTTTAAAAATATTTGAACTATAGAGAAAAATATAATTCTATTCATCATAAACATTTTTTTCTTAACTCATTATTTTACATTTTTACATGATCCGGTGTTAAGATTGACAGGTCAGACATTAGAACATCAAGGGTGTAAAATTCAAATTTTGTACTGCGTAATATATATTTTTAAATATTTTTATGACATGTGGTTTTATCGTGTCAAGTTATTCAACTCTCACATTTATGTAAATATATAATTAAGTTCAAGTAATTTTAGCTGGAAAAAATTGAAAACATATTATTGTTGATTAGGATTCTAAGAGTCTTAGAAACATGTTTGATCTATCTAAATGAGAATGCATGATTTTAATTTTAAACTTTAAATTTAATATCCATTTTTTGCAACAAACCAGAAATAATGATGGAGTAATGGAGTCTTAATGAATTTCATGTAAAATATGTGATATTAGTAGACATTTTTTTAACAGAGAATACTTAAAAATATCTCTGAAAAATGCATGTAAAATAGTTTGGGATATGATCCTTTAATAATAGAATTCCATGACAATAAACAATGAACATAGAAACTGTAAATATTATACTGAGATTACTGATAAAATTACAATGGCCTACAGTTGAATGTAAGACTAAATAAAACATACACTATACCCAATTTAATATTGTAGTAACTATTAAATAACTTTATATTGAATGGCTATTTTGGCATTCCCACATATAGCTGCCATGAATCATGAAAATATTTTTAAAATGTAAAACAAATTCAGAATAATTACATTTTTTGCACTGTTTATGACTGTTAAAATAAACAACTAAGCCAGCATATTGTGAATATTCTTAAACATTATAAATGCATTTAAGTCTGAATTATAACAAAAAAACCAAACATACAATTGTTCAATAGTAGTTTAATGTTTAAAATCTATAATTAGTTATATACTTATGACTTAAAATTAAAACATAAAAACAATATGAAAAGTATTTTTTTTGCTCATACAGTGAAAGTTTGAATTTAGGCACAACCGGATAGAGCTGTTTCTGTTTTTTAATAACAATGATTTTTATTTAATTCATGATAATAAATTATAGCAATGTGTCATGTTATAACATTTTATTTTAGGGGATGGCACTCAGTCTTGGTGACAAAATCAACATGATGCAAAAGCGACCATACAAAGCAGTTGCGGCCTAAGCTCTACATTGCGGATTCAAACAGAAAATCATTAACCTCAAGAGTTTATCTTTATTATTATACATATTATATTTATACTGTGTTTTGAATTACGTATTATCAATAGACATTTATTTAGAAAACGTCCTTTGTTTGTAATAAAATATTTTAAAATAACAATGTCATCGTTCTTCTATGCGGAGAACTGTGTATTTATTTTATTTTTATTTTTGCGTCATAATTTTATCTCATTTTTTAAGTCGTTAAAACACGTCTGAACAATAAGAGAATAATTTTAACAAAACTGATAATATAGACACACAATACTATTTAAGGGATTCATTTATGAGACAGAATGTTAGTATTGATGTCTCGTGATTCGATGAGCACTTGTAGCGAAACAGAACTAATATGACGAAATTTGTAAGTTTATTTTTGACCAACCTAATAACATTTTAAAGTATCTCAGTCTTAGAAGGAACGTCTATGTTGCTTATAATTTCTATTTGTTGTGTTAACTCTATTTGTGGTATTTTAGACGATCGTGGCCTTAGTGCAAGTGACCGTCTTGTTTGTAATGCAGGTATCCGTAGAACCATGCAGCGACGAATTCATCAAGGAAATGATAGTGAAAGTTTGTGGAATGAGTGAAATAAAACGTTCATTCCCTGATAACAGCCGCGCCAGCTCGTCGTTAAGCCCAAATTTTAAGGGCATGTTGACTGACGTCGAACGCGAATTCAAACATTTGGTCGAAGGCATCGAAGAAGTAGACTTGCTGCTGAAAACATCTAATAAGAAAAAACCAAAAGGTATATATCCCGGTGTGCTCCGCTAACCGTAAAAACGAGTGCGATTGGTATAGTAATCTTTCATACCATATTGAAAATATAGTTAGGTAGGTAATCAGATAGTTATTTAACTACGTTTCGTAGTAATTTTCTCGGCAAATCAGTAAAGCGATATAACCCACGTCAACGATAATTTCTTAAACGAATAAAGCGATTTCGATGATTCGCACGTTTCGTGATAGAGTTGCCCAAAATTCTAGAGCCTAGAAGAAATAAAATTCATCAAAATAGGAAGGTTGATTAGGTGTTAGGTTCATTTATTCAGAGTTTATAGAAGCGTAGAACAATTTTTTTTTTTGAGTTTTAAAATTCTGCAAGCGGTAATTGTGTGACAGTCTTATTTTGTTGTAATTCAAAAATGATTACCATATTATAATATATAGGTATATTTAAAACGTTCACCATGCAAATGTTTATATTTTCGTTTTATGTACGTGGTTTAATTTTCAAAATATGTCGACTCTTTTTGAGCTATGTATAGATTTTTGAAATAGGTATGAAATTTGCTTGAAATTAGTTTTTTTTTCAAACTTCGATAGGTAGGCACCAGATTTTTCGTTTGGTAAAAATATAAGGTTTCTCATAAGTTGTTATTGTAGCATTTTAAAAATATTTAACATACCGCTATATATTATTAAAATATTTAAAGTTCAAATTTCGACAAAATAACCGACAATTTGATAATCATTTTGTAATTATAAATTTATTGTTTAATTTTTAACTTTTATAGCAAAGATTGACATTGTAAAACGAGGTATCTCATTAGTTGTTTGTTCTGTAACCTAAAAATCTGAAAAATATCTGTACATAGGTACATAGTTTTATCCTTTATAGATATTTTCAGTTTAAATTTGAACGAAATTAGATATTTAGTCAGAGAGTAGCAATTTTTAATTATTTTATTGTAATTTAAAAATATTATTCATGAGTACTCGAAACTTTTAAAGGACGTATATAATTATATAGTTATATTTTATACACGCAATAACATTTTCAAATGCAATGTTTTCGGTAACATTTAATTCAATTACTTTAATAGGCAATATCAATAATATCATAAAATAAACTTGGTAATACAAGCCGTATTCGCTCATAATTATTATTTTATTGTCTATAATGATTTTATAGCAAATTTAACACATCAATTACGGAGAGCCACTCGACACCTATTAAGCTATACCTAAACTAAGCGTTTTGCATTTAAAATATTTTCAACGCCATCGAACTACAATGATTATTCATTTCCAATAGGTTTATCATTATTTGGTAGACGATTGGGTACATCACATAATATATTTTCTTAAATTCATCTAATCTTCCAAACATATTTATACTATGTATCTATGCCAATAGTGGAGACTTTGTTGGATATCGAGAGAGTTCTCACTCTCTCGATAGGTTAGATAGGGTACTCTCGTACCTAAAAGGTTTCTAAGACCTTATCTATAGTAAATAAAAAAATAAAATAGGAAGGTACGTAAATATTGCTTCCATATTTTTCAAAAAAACCTAATTCTTTGTGTGCTTTAGTCGAAACGACACATTACTCTTTTTAACATAACATTAATAATCAAACCAGCACCCACGGGGGTACCGTATATGCCATATGGTATACCTATATGCCGCGTTTTCTCATGAATATGTTCAAACGCCGATAGCTTTGCGTTTCCTGTATTTTAAGGTTATTAGAGTTTTATCTGTTTTCATTCCGAAAATAAATGATATAGTGACTCTTGTAATTGGTATCCAAAACAAGTGAAGTGCGCGTGTTGATAATTTTTTTCAAATATTATGGGAAAGTCGATTGAAACGTATTAAACTGTTTGTCTTGGCCGAAAAAGGAAGCGTACGATTTTGGTCGAAAGAGAATCTAACTTTTTTAAATTTGGTCGAAAAGGAAACGTTCTTGGTTGAAAACGATCTCGCGCATATAGGTGTAGGTACGTACGTCCCACTAATCCCCCTAATATTTAATGATTTATTATGTCAACCGTGCGTGCGCCCTGTGATGTTTTAAAAATGTACACAATATTATTGTAGGCACTATGTTTTAAAAATCGAAGTTTTGTAGTTCATAAAAACGTCAAGGCTACAGTGGATATATTGTATAATTTATCGTTTGTACAACGTGTAAATTAATTGTTATTTTTTTACTGATTTTTCCTTAGAACCAAACGTCACTCCACTGTGGCTGCGTCCAATTATTTTACCGGGTTTCGGAGACGACAGATCGAGACACGTGAAAATGCGTATGGTCACGCCACTCGGATGTTAATTGTAAATTAATTAATGTTGTGCAAAATATTTTTATTTTTAGGTGGTGACACCGGAAAGGCCGCCATTAGAAAACGGGGAGTGATGCAGGTGTTCAGAGAGTGCTGCGTCAAGAAGACGTGTTCAGTCGGAGATTTAAACCGTATATGCGAGAAGAAATAAACAATATGATTAATAACATTTTAACACACCTTGCTTTATTAAATTATGGTTAATAATTATTATCAGTAGTCAGTACGTTATATATATAAAAAAAAAAATACACAAATAATTATTTGTATTTTTTTTTAAAAATATATTATATTTCATGTTCCATATAATGGAGCTATTATATAAATTTCCGTAAAATCACAGACTCGTTTTTATAATAATTTTTTAAAAATCGTTATTTATATTATATTCACCGACAATCGTTTATCGTGAACTAAAATCGTGCAAACTTAACACAGGAACTAACGACTTATTATACTTATAAAAATAAATTAAAATTAACACAGTAGGACTTTAGTCAATATTTTGTTTTTAATTCTTCGGTTTTGCGCGGCGCATTGGTTACAAAGAAAAAAATAAAACTGTATCGTTATAGGTACACAGCATATTGTGTACGTATAATGTAAGTATGCATATATAAATATATATATATATGCATAAAGAATTATATATATATATATATATGATCAAAGAACCAAACAGTGTTAGAGATTTCGATGAGTTTTGACGATGGAAGTCAAAGTGGAAGACGTGCAGGCGCGGTGTTATTCCCGAGTTTCAGTGTTGCGTGGTTTTAGTATCGATGACCGATGGCATTTTGTCAAAGTATGGTTTTACAGTTTTCACTCGTCCTGGCACCGGGTCCTGGACGTTCAACGCCTGGAAGAACAACAAAAACATTGCATTAATATCGGAACGAAAAGATGGCGGTAAAACGAGTGTTTAGGTATACTGTATAATGTGCTATTATTATATATTACGACGGACAAATAATAATGTATACGATCGTGCTTTTCCCGTACACATATAATAACCATGGGGTCGTACATGTTCCCGGGTGTGCGGACAACAGTCACGTGTCTGCGCAGGACATATGCATAATATGCTGCCGGGTGTGTCCTGAGGATTTGACGTTTTACACGACGTACCCGCCGTCGAGTCTTCCCGCGCACACCTATATATATATATTTTATTTAGGATTTAGAAAATCCGCTGTACGCACCTCCCTCGGCCGCCATGTCGCCCCCCCCCCACCCTTCACGCGGGGCAGTCGATGTGCACGCGATGCGATCGTCGTACGTACAACCGCGGCGATATCGTCGGTCGGACGGTTAAATAATAATAATAATAATAATATATACTATGGATAGTGTATACACCTGCGAAGCAGATCGACGACGGTTAAATCTACTGATGCGCTTTTGCGAGGATTGCACAAACGGTCACTGTCGACACATTTCTAACGGGTCAGCGCCAAGCGATCCCCCCAATGGCAATGGTCGCTTGATTTGGTTTTGCCCGTGCCGGTGCGTTAAATCAAATTTCTATAATGCGACCTGACATTGTGCGGGACTCGAAACGGCTCGGACAGTGGACTCGACCCTGTTTACGCGGGAGACCCTGCGCGCCATATTATCTATACCTGAAAATGCGTCAATATTTCCGTGCGATAAAATCGTCGATTTTATTCTTCCCGGCACACCCTGTTTACACCACACTGTTTATGTGTCTGTATAATGACTTATATAATATATTTTATTATTGCGTGTGTACATGCAAAACAGAAAAATACATCTCGTGCCGCAGTATTCGAAGCTCAGTTTGCGGAAACGCTCTGAGCGTACCGGCCTGCGTTACTACAGCTCCCGGATGGGCGACCATCCGGGATTTTTGGCGACAAAATCTTCGCCACACATACATACATGTCCCCCCCCCGCCCACACGGTACCTGGCTAATGACCTCAGTAGTTATTGGAGCCTTAATGCTAGTAATAAAAATAAAATAAAAATACATCTTACTCGTGTTATATATACATTACGTGTACCCTATAACAATGTTATATGTTTAGAGCACCGAGCGCCGCCACTTAGCGATTCTGATTGGTAACGTACTTGTTTTGGGTAGGTATGTACATATTATTATTATTATTATTATTATTATTGTCGATGTATGATTATATATTACATTACAGTGTGGTTGAATTGTGTTATTGTTGTAGTTGTAATTATTATTATGATCGTTTGGCTTACTTTCTTCGGGACGGACGGGACCGTGTTGGGTTTAGTGGTCTTAATGTCGTTTGGCCTACCGAGCTCTTTAGAATTGGGTATAATACTATTGGATTTCGTTTTGGCATTTTCGGGCTCAGCCTGCAGCAGACTGTTGTCTACTACTAGTGTGTTACTCGTGGGGTCTTTCTGGGGTTTCACGTTTTTGTCTACCGAGGGTTTCTCTACAGACGCGGACGGTTCCAAAACACTCCGAGTATCAGACCTGTAAATCATTGTAATAAGATATAAATGTGTTTTAGAAATGACGCTAAATGTAGTTGTACGAAATACGAAGTAAATTAAAATCTACAGACGTATAAACATTCGGACTGTGTATCATATTTATAATTACGAGTATATTGTTCTTTTACATTTGTGTCAATATTTCCACTCGTCCGCAGGGAGAGTGTATAATAATATATTATATATTATGTTCATGTAGGTCCATCGTGAGAATAAGAACAAATAATAATATATGGTAATTATTATGTGGTTGTTGATGATAGAAATGAGAATGAGTGGAAAACCGAAGCAGACTAATTAATAATACAATGTACTTAGGTAATAAATACCGAAATGACAAAAACCATACGACTTCTATTTGACTTGTCGTAATATTAGGTTTGTGAATATTATGTGATACTGTGGTCAACAGTATATTATGAGAGTTAATGTGGTGTTTATATGTATGTGTGTATGTATGTGTGAGTGAACATGATTGTATTATGATATTATTATATTATTATTACAATGTATGTGTAGACGATCAAAATATGGTTATAATAATAATATATTTAACACCCAATCAGAATCTGTGGCGTCTGATGCTCATGAGTTATATTTTAGTATAATATATATATATAGGTACATATTACTATATGCAATATATTTTTTTTATCGGTAAAAAATCCTCGGCAACATGGGCCATTGGGTTAAAAACTAATATTATATAATTGCAGCGATTATAGCGTGTATTCGATAATACTTACAAAATATATTATTGTTATTGGGTTTAAAGCCCATACATTCTAAATGAATTAACATGTACAAAGGCACTGCAAGTAAGTAGGTAGTATATTATTACTATTACTGTTATAAGTGTAATATACTCAAAAAAAGTATTATTTTATTATTCGGTACTAAAAAGCTTGTTGTAATACAGCACATTTTTTTGTTCAAACGATTTTTCGTTTGCGTTTCCATCGCGTGACGTGTTTAGCGATATAATTATTATTAGTAGGTAGGTAGGTAATATTTTAATCGACGAGTTCGACCAAAGTCGTTTATTATTCAGGTATCACACGATAATATTAATAATAATAATAGTTAATTTTATCAAAACTGTCGATTAAATGTATCGGTTACGAGAGTGTCGATTTTTTTACCGCTTATTAAGAAGAACGAAAAAAATTGTAATTCTCGACTGCCGCAGTTGCAGGTATCCGATTTCATTCCGAACGTTTTATTGTTTTATACCTAATAATGTGCATAAAAACTGTAATTATGTGCACAATCGGTGCACTGTCGCAGCGACGATTATATTATAATATTACATTACAAGCTCTGATGGCTGATGTTCTAATATTTGTATCGACGCAGCGCAACAATAATATAATTTTTACTGTAATAATACAATCCAGGAAATCGAATGAAAAGATAATATTATAATACCTATACGATTTGTAATAAGATCTAAATATTGCGACAGCGATGGGTGTTGATTTCTATTAATTTATTGTAACTAGGAAGCGTATAATAACATTACAATATTATTATGCGCACAGCAGAGTTGCAAAAACTGTCTCGAAGCGGCGGATAATAATATTAAGACGGGCTCATTTCTAACGAATGTTTTCGACTGACTTTTGAGAAACGGGTACACTCGGCTAGAGTCTAATTTTTTCGCTAGGGTTTTTGTATAATAGTACCAGCGCGTCCGCCGGCGTCACTAGAGATGAAAATGTGTGTAGAAGGTGCTAAATACAGATGTGGGTACCCAACTATAAGTATAATATTATCATTATAATATGTTTTTTTTTTTTTTTTTTTAATTTGGTTGTTAACAGTATACAACTTTTAGAAATACGGGCTTGGGAGGGGGTAGCGGCCCCTAACCCCCCCCCCCTGGATCTGCTCCTGACTGGTTGGTTTATAATTTATTGCATCATTCGGCGCTGTCCGATAGCAGCACTACACGGCGATCAGAGGATTTTTCCCTTCCAAACACTTCCTTTTGTTTTTCATTTCGTTATGTATATAATATGCTTACACAATCATTTTTTTTTTTTGTTTTGTTGTAAGCTATGCATACTTTGTATTTATAAAATATTTATTTGTAAGCAGTTAGTAAACAATGAGCGTAGGTGATATTCATTAATTCATATTTTGATATTTTGATATTTTTTAAGTTCCCGGATGTCCAGGCACATAATATTTTATTATTATTTTGTTATCAACAAGAAAAAAAATTGGGCAACGTAAGGGTTTCGGTCTTTTATCAATATTGTATTAAATATTTGATTTGTTCCGCAAAATAAATAATTATAGCACAGTATAATACAATGTTACGTATATAAGTGTCGAGTACCTAATATATTTATTCCACCAATTTAAACACGAAGACATCACCCCTTACGATTCCATAATTTTGATTATTGCTCGGTGTGACAAGACGACAGAGTGATGGTATAATAGATATTGCAATCAGTGGCGTGCATTTCAAAAATGCTCTCGACGTTCAGACAAAATCATCGCTACGCCACTGATTTCAACATCGATGGTAAATTTCACCGGTGGATGATGAACGTGTAGATAATATTGATATCGGAACGACCGACGGCCGACGCACACTTACAGCGGCGAACAAGCAGACTTCAATTATACTTACCCTTCATAATATGTACACGTCATGTATTGTCAGGTATAAGCGTTAATATTATTATGTTATATAGCCATGGTTCGACGTTAGTTGCCACTATAATCGATTATTATTGTTATGATTCGTGATGATAAAATGATGAGTTTAGATAAAATACACATATTATGGTATACAATATTATAATAATATAGCGATCCATCCGCACGCGAGTGGAAACGAGACACGGAAAAATACAGTCGACTGCAAGCGTGATATTTGATGAGAATATCGTCGCGGACAACGGGCCGTGTGTATAAGATAATATCGATTTTTTTGATTCGTATTTCGGGGTGGTGAACAAAATGCTGCGTTAAGTATATATATGGACAAGTCGAGACTTGTGTGTAAAATGTACCTTCGATTTTCCCAGCAGTAAGCTTTCAGGTGATGTGGCGTGCAAGTGTTCTCGCAGCACTCTTCGACTATTACTCTTTTTCGACGACGGCTTGGAACGGTGACGTCTGAAACGAAACAAAAAAAAAAAAACGTACACG